CCGTGCCTAGAATGCCAATACATTTTACCCGCCCACACAGTTTGTTGTCGATATTAACTATTTAAAAACGTAATTAATAGCTTACTTGACAAAATTAATATCTTGTAAACTGTTTGATTTAGCAAATCAAGTTAGCAATTTTGGAATCGGCTTTTCAATATTGATCAGAAAAGGTTTGTCTGGCAAATTTTCCTCCAACCGGTCACCTCACCACTTACTTGTTTTTAAGACTAATTGCCGAAAACAAGGTTTTAAAATCGAGGAGCAACGCACTTTTTAAATACGCGTAGACTATGCATTTGTTGAATAAGCATCTCACAAGTGACTAAAACAGCTTATCAGATAATTTACTTTTCCAGTGATGCCTCGCCCCTTACTGGTTTGTGTCTACGACGATTTGACAACAAATGGCGCTTTAATTTGAAATTTAGGCGACGTATTTGTCGAATCAGCAGTTAAATTTAACGAGAAAAGTTGGTCTTGCATATTTCTTTTTTATATGATTCTTCCACCTTTCAAGAAGGGTGTTGGAGGTAATTTACCGCGAATATAAATCACACTCAAATGTATTGACCACAGAGAGTTGGTCAGGCATATTTTCCTTCCAGGTTACACCTACCCCTTGTCCTGCTGGTCTATTATTTCAAATCACCGTCAAACAAAATGAACTGTGGCTGATGTAACTGTTGATAACACATTTTTCGTTCCATTCATTATGCTATACCGCGTGTTGCCAGTTTTTAAAAAAATTGCTTTCTCACTGTGGATGGGTACAACATGCAGTTCTGTTATCAGACGCGGTACGATAACGGAATAATGCTTGAGGTCAATGCTCTAGTATACTAATAAGATATGTTTGTGTGCGACCTTTCAACATTCGATGTTTGCCCACGTATATGAAGATGGTTAAAACAACAACACCACCAATATAGGTTAAATTTAACAAAACAAAATCCATTATCATTTATAAAAATATAGAAATAAGCCTATGTTTGCATGTCGCATGTGACTCACAACTCCAATACAAACGTCCACAACGCGCCAATCACAAATGTACATTTCTTTCTTCTCAAGCTACCGCTGTAAGTTTCCACTGCACGAAATAAAGGACTCAATGGGATATTTGCTTGAATAATGGCCTCGCCAATTATTGCGCAAATCTCTGCCTATGCCTTATTCGCACACAATATTTGGCGGCGCGTCGTACCTAAATAAACACGCCACAGTATACGTTATTAATCTAATTTAGGTGAAAAGAAAACACAACACTGACAGCACAGGCAAATAACAAGATAAGTTGGATCGAATTGAAATCCATATGTCATCTTACCATCCTATCATTCTTATAGTGTTATACCATCAGGATTCAAAATATTAAAGCAAAAATTCAGATCACCAAACAGACAGATAAATAAAAATATATAATATTATCAATATGAAGCCCAATATTGTTAAAGAATTTCAAAATAATGCCATTCAATGTATATGTAAATTCTACCCATTGGAAAAGTATACAATCACTTGAGACCTGCGACCCTATTGGGAAAACATTAATGCTGTTCTACACGTAACGATTTTCGAAGCAATTTATAAGGCAACACAACGACAGTAACAGTAACAACTGACCTTGGCGACTACTTGTCCACCTGTTCTACTATGCGATTATACCATACAAATAAGACATATTATTAGGCAGCACAAATCTTAAGTCGTTGCGTGTGTTCCATTTTACCGTTTTCTATATTCTATTCAAATTATCCACAATGTTCGACACACCTTTATGCTACGCCATAGCCATGTCTGAACAGTTTACCAGTAAATAGTGCCAAGTAATTAAAATAGATCAAGCTAGTATTTTCAGTTGCAGTATTTAGGGAGTATTGCGATTGGTTCTCAAATTGAATGAGAATTCTGATTGCAAAAAGAGGATAAACTTATACATTTGATACCGTTTCTTACCTTTTAGCCTACGCGCCTTACGTCCATCCAGCCTGCACAGGCGTCAGTTCCATATCACGCCACTGAATGACTGACTGGGCATTTGGACTTCGGCTGACAGCCCATCACGTTAAGGCCATTATTTTATATATATATATATCAGGCACTTAAAGGTAAATTATTAAACCCTTTGCTTGTATCAAGGCACTATGCCAGAATACCACAAATAATTATAAATTGATATTCCATTGTAACAAGACTACCAAATTAATTAATTATTTAATTAATTTAATTGGCATTCGGCAACACGCTTTGGATGAAATAAGCATACTCATACAAGTAACTGTTGATAAACCAGATTAGATTTTGCAACTTTTCAGGGAGCTGAACTTTAAATATTAATTGCACCCGTGTGATCCTTTAAGGAATGTCATGTCAATGCCAGCAACTTGTTATTCTATATTTAGGCAATGAGACAACTTGTGTACCTTGGTAATCCATGTAAGAGTCGCGAATAATCATTATTGTAAAACACAGCTTTTACTCTTCTTAGCGTTCTGCTTTTCATGGATGTAAAAACATGATTACGCGTCGTTGTTTTTCTTCTCATACAACGGATGGAGTTAAAACTCGTTGCATGGCCGCGTTTTGCTTACGTATAATACGTGATTTAAAGTGGTTCACAAATATGAACCATGAAATATTGATACTGCGTATCGCGAGATAAGCTTTGACGTGCTGATGGTAAACAATCGCATGCAGTATGCGCGGTGATAAGTATTAATAAAGAGGTGGATGACCTTTAGATTCTCCGAGGTAGTGTGTTTTGTTACGAAATATACTGGGAAAAAAATCAACTGAAAAAATCACTAAAGTACAAAATTTGCACATTCCTTTTTTTTACCTTTCCCCTTCCAATAGACGCCAAATGGGCGTGTCCCGGTAACGTGGATCCAATATTTATGTATGCGCCAACTCGAAGCAGCGAGTCGTTAGGGCGTACAGTTCCGTATGTATGTATTTTTGCATCGTCCGAATCGCACGGTTTGTTGTTGCTGACCTATTGCCGATTCCACCAACCTGTGCGGGATCAGCCTGGGTAAACACGTATTTTATGTTAAACAAATGGCCAAGTTTGATTGGATGCTCCTGTTGGAAAGGCGACCAATCAGACGAAGTGTAACATTGCGCGGTAAGCCAATAAACAAAATGTCCGAAATGGCGACGTGTAGCCGTGCGTGTAGAGTGTGTTTAGGTTGTTTGCCAAACGCAAAAACCGGCGCTGCACCCAGGTTTCCACAATTTTGTTATGCCAACGTTGCAGGCTGTTTGTGACATACTTCGTCAGCAAAGTGACAAATATTTATGTCGAAAGCACTGAAGCTGACAACTCTGCTCGACTGATCATTCAAGAGTTGAACTGTTGCACAAATTACGTGATTTGCTACTTCCTGTCCCCGTTACAACAAACTCATCTCAGCGAGTAATGCCTCAATTGCATGGTTTTGTTGAACAGTGTAGCTTTTTATCCTGAAAAACTGCGTGATCTGTTTTGTAGACCACAGTTACAAATGTATTAGTGTATGTATATGGTATGCAAGTATTGCCCACACGAATATTGATCTTCCACTACTGGATTACAGTGTTGCCATTTCAAAGCAAAACTATATCGATGTACTGAAATAAAATCTACATTCATCAAACAAAAATTGTGATGTTGCAACCAAAGTATCGACTTATTGAAAATTCTAAGTTATAAGATAATTCTCATTTTAACAATCTCCTGAACAATTGAACTCTCTGGTTTCTTTTTTGGAAAACTGAATTCGACAAGAAAATTCAGAAATTAGAAATAATTCGCGACGAAATTTATTCCATACGCACACCAATGGTAATTCTCATAATTAGTGGCGGTTAGGACGAGGCAAAATTTGGTGCAAACTATGGGTTTCCGTACCCCATTGTACGTTAACATAGGCCGATGTCTAATTATTGTTTGAGGACTTTCATCCAATCTGCTCCAAATTCTTTTGATTTTTGTTAACGTACGTAATGTAACGTTATGTAATTTTCTTTTTGTATTGAATGGCAGTGGCGAATGTCGCTTCAATGACCTGTGGCAAACTGTGTTGTTTAAAAATGTAATCCCACTATAAAATTCAATTGTCGCCTACAAATATTCACACAATTCTGCAATGCGTATGCCTACTGTGAAAAACACCCACCTTCACGCCGTGTGGTGCAATGGCAAGATATAAAAACATACTGAACGAAATAATAGTAATAATGTATTCAAAATGGATGAAAAAATCAGAAACAGGTAATAAATCTCGCAGAACCCGACAATATTTCCTGATGTTTCAAGCGTTATAGAAGCTTTGCTTATTGTATCGAATTTTCGGCATCCATGTATTTTGTATAGATTCACAACAAGACGTCTGGCGTATAGCTTTGTTGCGATGTCGAACCGAGAACGCGTTGATTGTGAAAGTGAATTTATATAGCGCTGTTTTATTTGACTGATGAAACATGAAAAAATACTTTATTCTGTCCAACAAACAATCGTTATTATATGAGATGAGAGCATTTGAATTTCGATTTGACGAATGATTTATATTCAATTTCACTGTGCAAAAACGAAAATAAACATTTTTGAATGATTTTAAATTGTCCAACAAATTTCCATTGTATTTTTTTGCTGTTGATTACATTATGATCGAATATGGGCGACGCAGCATTTCACAATACTATACCATGTATTCGTTTTCATTTCATTTCAAATTTCTTGACAGAATGTTAATGTTACTAGTTTCCGGTTAGTATTAAGAAGTCGTCGTGCGTCACTGACTATTAGTTGCAATACACTTCTATTAGAGTTTAGCAGCTGTGTCGTGTCATGTTTGACACAACTAGTACTGACATTTGCATCTTCCAGTTATAACTCAAAACATCGTGGGTTACATACAATATTAATCCTGTCCTTAGTAGTATACCCTCATGTTACAACGAGAAAATGATACAATGTTGATCTCTATGCGATATTGACAGATTTGTTTTCATCTTCAGACCATTGTTCCGTTGACATCGTGGAGTTCCTTTGTGGTTTTTTTGCAAGAAGGATGTTTTCTATGAAAATAAAAATACAATACATTATTGTATTCGGAATTACCACATATCTTTCATTAGTGTGTTCTGTGTCGTTTCACACACAACGGGACTAGCAAAATAACCCACAGATCTCTAGTTTAATCGCAGCACATATACGTGGTTGAATTGATACGTCGGAATAGCACGTCAACAAACAATCTACGCTCTGATTGGTCTGTTAAAACTGTGGAGACGGGTAGCCAATCAGGAACACATTTTGTAAGTATCTTCGCATTGATTTTAGATCTCCTAATAATTGTGTAAATCGTGCAAATGTCAAACGAAATAATAACATTCATACTTTCCGAACATCTCAGCCTCCTTTATATTTGCAGGAAGTTTTCTGCGTCTTGTTTCAGGTAAAGTTAATACCATAAAAGCCGACATGATTGATAGGCCTCCAAACACAAGCTGTGGCAATGGGTTCCAGGTCATTCGAAGGGGCAGAAGAAGAGGAGCAAGCGAGCTAGCCAGAATTGAACAGGATGAAGTTGACATTACTCCAACCGATCTAGAAAATGAAAAAAAAAATGTTTTATCAAATTTGTGGTTTATTAAAATGTATGGATGAACGTAACCTTTCATTGGCGTACAGCACATTCTATTTCACCAATTCACATAGACAAAAATACGTTAATTAGCCAATAGAAGGCACACAGTTTTTAGCAGCCATCAACACCAAGAATACATCACGTATGTCGAGACTATGTTCACACAGTTGCGTTATACAGTCTATGGAAAGAATTGATGATGAATGACTAATACTTTGGAAGTTTCTCAATATTACTTCATCATGTGATTGTTACAATGCATATTAACGATATATTGTTCATGGGTGTTGCAATTCAAAAAGATTTGATGTAGTTATCAACATTTGTTATTCGACTTTATATATTCGACAGCGCCAATATTGTTGATAAAATGTTTAATTGAAAAGGGGAATTTTCCAGAATACCATAGCGACCTATATGCCAAATATTTCATTTGAGTAAATCAGTGATAGCGCCCTCAATTTTCAAACAATTTGCTTTTGCCTGCTAACACTGTAGATTGCAACACTTTTTCAATTGCTTAGATAGAAAAACCGTAATATAGGTAAAGGGTCGATACGATAACACAGTTTATTTGAGGTTATACGTACGTACTGCAGGAGTTTTACTTTTGATTCACATTGGAACAATGCTGTGTCTTGAGCCATTTGTTTGGATTTATGACCACCAGCGCCGAACCCAAGTAAAACTACCTACCGTACATAAATGATCCATATAAGATTTCACACACGGATCGCTTTCAGATTTGTTACTTTATACAAAACGTTGGTGAGCGCGTCTTGTTAGGGCAAATCGCTTGCAATACTATTTGATCATATTTTAGTGTATTACATAATACAATGAATTATAGTGTTTTATCCGGTCTATTATTGTAATTGTAATTGTAACATTCACCACGTCGAAATTGTTTGGTTTTACTTCGCCAACAGATTGAACAAGTTAATGATTATACACTGTAACACGATCGCCATTGTAAATAACCACGATATAAATATCAAACTCTAATGAATACTGTGCTTCAGTTTGTTGATGCTCGTACTTCCAGTATTTTTGAATTTCTTGGTCGTTTTTTAATCGTAACAACTTATTAAATACCAGTTCTCTTTAAAAAAAATGCTGTTTACATATGCTTTACAAAAATGGGTTCCCACAAAATGGCGTCATTTTACAAGTTGACTGCTTAGCGCTGAGCTATGAAGCGTAATGGGTGGGGTGAAATCAATGTCGATAGCAGCGTGGCAAAATTTGCAGCCATATCAGCAACTAGCAAATATCATGTAGTTAGTGGTTTTGAACGAATTAACACATTCTTGTTTACCTCAATGTTGTAGGGAAGAGCTCTCCTGCATATAATTGACTGACTGCATAACCCACTGTGGCTGCAAACTTTCCAACCATGTATACAGCAACCATGACCCATAATGTACCTCCACCTGTGGGTATAAACGGGTGATAATATATAAGAATAATAAACAAATATTCGTGTCGATTAATATTCAATATGAACTATACTTACACTGAGATATAAATGCACTTGATACAGTCGCAATAGCTGCTGTCAAGGAAGATATACATATGGTCAGTTTTCTACCACAGCGTGTTTCCACCAAGTACATCGACGAGGAATAAGCTACAATCTCGACAGCTCCAGCAATCAGAGCATTGGTGTAATTATTTCCAGCTATGTTTCCAACGTTGAACGTTAATCCGTAATACAGCAAACTCATTGAAGAGCTACAGTAAATAAAAACACGTGAACTACTCAACGTACTGTTACATACATGAGAGTTTTGACTTTTAACTGTTTTTGGTAATGGTAGTATGAGCTTTTGTTAAAAATATATTCCTTGTTTAAAAAGTAGAACTTACGCACAGTAGTAAATGATCAGAGTTTTTCTTCTCATATTTTGATAGCGAAAAAGACTGAAAAATGAATCAGTTGAGTCATTTTTTGGTGGAACTGTCTAAAATAAAAACAAATTACTGATGCTTACTACATGCCAGTAATTACAAGTAAACAAACAAACATGAGAGTTTTTAAGATGCTGTACATTTTTGCATTTGTAACAGATGACAATATAAAGACCTAATGGTGACTTTAATGGTGACTTTCGCTATTTACATTCTGCATTCTTACATAAATAGCATACCACATAGCTACTAATAGCCACTAGTAGCCATAGCCACTGGAATATCGATCCTAATATGCATGCACTAATGTACGTCAGGACTGAGATACACTGAGATAGAGTAACGTTCGAACATCTATCTGGTAA